TATCCATCTATCCATCCATCTATCCATCCATGCATCTATCCATCTATCTATCTATCTATCTATCTATCTATCTATCTATCTATCTATCTATCTATCTATCTATCTATCATCCATCTATCCATCTATCCATCCATCCATCTATCCATCCATGCATCTATCTATCTATCATCCATCTATCTATCCATCTATCTATCTATCTATCTATCTATCTATCCATCTATCTATCTATCTATCTATCTATCTATCTATCATCCATCTATCAATCAATCAATCATCTATCCATCAATCGATCCATCAATCGATCCATCAATCCAACTATCTATCCATCTATCCATCCATCTATCTTCATTGTCTCTTACTCTCCATCTCTCTCCCTCTCCTATCCCTCTCTCTTTGTCTTCCTCCTCCTTTACCACTCTCTCTCTCTCTCTTTCTCTCTTTCCTTCTCTTTATTCAGTCCCTCATCTCTCTCACATTTCCACATTCGTTTTCTCCTCCTCCTTCACTCTCTCCCTCTTTTCTGATGGATCATTCTCAGATAAATGTATCAACAGTGTGAGAAAAGTTCGTCGTGTGATATGGATTGTTTCGTTTTCGTGCCGAGGAAGAGGAGCAGACAGAGTTAAAACGTCAGACCTGAGTCCGGCCACTATAAACCTGATGTAAACAGGTTAGTGAGCGCGCAAGTGACTGAAGACGGAGTGATAAAAGAAGACTGGAAATTTAATACCGCCATATTGACTTGTAAATTCAGAACGATGTCTTTCTATCAGTCTGGTCCCAGCTCCCTCGGTCACGACCAAATATGATCGTCCACTCAGATGTGTTTATTTGTTTCAGTGACACAGGTGAAACGAAGAAGCTCATTGGTCACCTGTCATTTACAAACAAAATGACATTTCTCTCACCTCAGATTACAACAGTTTAAAGGGACCATATTATGCTATTTTCTGATCTGTGTTATAATGTAGTTTCCTCATCACAAACATTTCGGTAGTTGTGTTTTGCTTCATTCACATGTTTAACACACAGACCTCTGAAAAAATAAGGGATCTGAAAAATCATTAGAAAAACATTGGAGCCACTGAAAAAGTGTCTGACCTTGAAATGATCACTGAAATCATAATTGTTTTAAATCACTGTTTCCCAAACTTTTTTTTCTGGGGACCCATATTTTAAAAGTCACAAACCTTCACGACCCAAGTCAATAGACATTATTTGTAAATCAGAAAATAAAGGTGGATTTGAGCATTATTGACCTTTAATGAGGATATTTTACTGTTGATTAAGTGATCTTGTCTCTGAACAATAAGTATTAGTTTTAAACAATGAAAAACAGTCATTGAAGCAGCAATAAAAGGATCCATAAGTCGCCTATTTGGACATTTAATGTAGCCATTTCTTTTTCTTTTCAACATCCAATTGAACCAGAAATATCAGAACAAAATAGTGAATAAAATAATACTAACAATAATACTACTAATAATAACAAAAAGATTAGAAATTAATACAAAACATCTAACATTTCAACATGTGTCAGAACTGTATATTGCAGACTTACATGCAGATCGTGACAAGGTGCCCAAAAAAAAATCTCTCGTGACCCACCTGAGGGTCGCGACCGAGTCTTTGGGAAATGATGCTCTAAACGACCGTGAAGATCTGACTGACAACACACACATTCAAGAGAAGGAAGAGCCTAGAGTTGTAATCAGAGAGGAAACTCAATCTCCAGAATCCACAGATGATGTCCAAAACAATTCCAACTTTGAAACTCTGAAACCTGAGATTAGTGAAGCTGAACTCCAGGTTAATGACATGGAGGATGTTAAAGAACTCTCTCTCCACCTCTGGGACCTGAAAACTATAAGGTTGAAAATTTTTCAGCAGAAGACACCAGTTAAGTAGTTCAAGAGACGATCATTAACATTCCTCCAAATGACCATGGAGATTTGAATGATCACGCACACACTCAAAAGTCAGATTAGCCTACATCTGCAGTCAAGGAGGAATATCAATCACAGTCCTCAGATGATGTTCAAGATTATTCCAACTGCATTAGACCTGCAAAAAATTATCTCCATAGCAACATCATATCAGATAAGGTAAATAAGGTAGTGGTCACTGAACAGAATTGTGCTGATTTGGTAGAGCCTCCTTTAGCTCCTCTGAAACCAGAAGAGATAAACAATAGTCCACATCAGGACTCAGAGCAACCTCCAGAGTTAAAAGAAGAACCAGTAATTTTAACATGTAATACTGACTGTTGTAGAAAAAATTATATATCTCTTGATGATAATTAATCCATTTGTGAAGCCCGATGAGTTTTTGGAATATAGACCAAGGTTTATTCTTGTTACAGCAGATATGGACAGGGCCTAGACCTGTAGACCTGCCCTGGCCAGAGCCCAACAGCCTCTCTTAACCAACAGTATGTCCCTACTTCCATTTGACCCTGAATGTTACAAAGCACCAAGTTTATATAGTTCTTAAATGACCAGAGGACATACATTAAAAAACTGAGAAGGTGATGACTCTTACTGAGGTGTGGTCAGATGTGCTTGATCCGATTTGCATCCATATTTACGCATTTGTCACTTCCTGACAAGATTAGTGAGCAAAAGGGAATAGAAGTGTTTACACTGAAGCGTCTTTCAAACCAAATGAGTTTTAGTTACAAGACCAAATGTGTGTTTAAAAAATAATCTAATCACTATTTTAATTTAATCAATCATAATCATTATTTTCCTGTGGGTGGTCTGGTCTCAGGTAGAAATCAAATTCATTTACACAAAGACAGAATAAAAGAAATCTTTCCACAAAATACAATTCCATCACATGGATTTGGTTGACAATTGGTTCATCACTGCCCACTAAAATAAATGAGGACAATTCAAAAGAGCCAAAAAATAAAAAGGAAAACGCAAAAGGGAAAAAAGAAGATGGCTGAAGTTGAGACGGTCACTCATATCATACATTCTCCAAAACAACGTGATCTAATTGACAATGAGCCTATTATTGTAATCAAAGAGGAGCCGAAATCTACAGAGTCCACAGATGTCGTCAAAGATGATTCCAACTGTGTTGCACCTGCCCAACCTGACCAAAGCTTCTGGGAAAAAGTAACATAAAGCAGAAAGACAAACCAGGAAAAAGAAGACCTCCGATAAACTTTGCATAGAAACTGATGTCACTGAAAAAGTGTCTGCAGTGGAGGTGACGTGCAGGCCAAATGGATAAAAAGACTTTGGAACCTTCAGTTAGAGTCCAGAAACAATCACTAAAGACAAAAAAATAAAAGTTTTCAACGCCAGGGCTGTCTACCTATTTACTAGGAAGAAACACATTTTACATGGAAAATAACTTTGACTCGACGCAAGGACAATATTTTTCACCCTTGGCTGCTCTTAAAAAGCCACCCAATTCCACAGGAAAACCGCAGACACGCCAGTTCAGCTCAACATAGCAGTGGGAACAGTCCTGAAAATGTGACACACACCTCTACACTGACAATGTTTAAATCCAGGCTAAAAACTGTTCTTTTGAGCTGTGCATATGACTGAAAGGTTTTTATTCTGCACTTCTTCTCTTTAAAGTAAATTTTATTATGAACCAGAAGATTTAGTAGTATGTAGTCACTATAACAACATTCTACACAGTTAGATTAAACCTCTTCTTCCACAGTGGCCATGTTTATATGATGTTTTTTTTAAAATTCTGAATTAATTGTTCTGAATTAAATAGTTCAGAATTAAAATATTCTCCTTCGAGTTGAAAATAATAATTCAGAATTGAGGTTTAAATCACCTTTATTTAATTCCGCTCAATGTCTGTGGGTGGGGAAGGGTTCTGATTGGACAGGGACACGAACATATTTACGTCGACCAGAAATATTTACGAAAACACACACTTCAGCTGCTATCGGCTTTTTTGTCATCTCAGTTTGTCGTTACGCCACGGACACAAACATAATACAAACTTTTTTCGCAAATAATTGTGCAGCAGCTGGAGAATTCTCTCATCACGCTTTACGTCTGTCAGCTGAGGAGGAGAAGGGAAGAGTGTCGGAGAAGGAGGAAGAAGACAGACTGAGTCAACGGCTGCTCTACGTCAGCCCACTCCCACATCCCGCTCACAAATCCAAAGAGACGTGGATGAAAGTCCGATGCCAGGACTGGTGGAACCGGGTCGTCCGGATCGCGTCAGAAGGGCGACACAACGAGCATGAACTGAACGGCCGACATTATTTTTAAGAAGAATAAACTTTTACGTGATCGAGGAATAAATTAATTCGGCTTTAAAATTGGAATAAACCACCCACTTACTTCGAATTTATGTTTAATTCTGAATTATCATTTTCAGTTTTAAGTGTTTACATGGACTTTTTAAAGCAGAATTCATTTTTATTCAGAATTAAACATGGCAACTATAGATTAAACCTATCTATTACAAGAGAGACAAGCAGGTAACAGCACTACGCTACTTTATAGTTTAGATCTGCAGAGTCATCCCTCACAGAAGAAATTATTGTATTTTTGAGCAACAGAAACACCTGTAATAAATTAATACTAAATGGATATGTTTAATGTCACACCATGGAACATTCCAGGGAAAGCAATACCATCTCCATGGAGACAAACCACCTTTAAAGGACCTGCATACAAAACGTTTAGCATCCAGTCTTAATAAAAGTGACAGTTCTTCTAAATCTAAACCCAGATTAGTTCAGGATCAAACCCAGACTTTTTATCAATCACAAATTTCCTCATACCTGAAAACTGGCACATTTAAAGAGTTTGCTTAGGATTTGTGGATTCGATTTGTCATTTGAATTTTCAAGGTTGCGAGCAGGAAAAATGGTCACCTTGTAATCTTTTTTCCTTGTTTACCACATGTACGCAGTGTAGGTTTGGGGAGATAAGATGACAAATAAACCAGAGAAGAAGCACAGAGGAGGGGCCCATCCATCTCTGAGATACAGAAATAAAACATGATCTTACCAGAATGACAGAGTAGAGTTTCTTCATCTCCTCACACGTCTTGGTCAGAGCGGAGAGGTCCGACTGGTGCTTCTCAATCACAGTCTGAAGGTAAACAAATCAATACAACAAGTTACAACTTTACTGTTTAAGGTGTTGCTAATTAACAGAGAAGATGAAGGTGCTCTCCCATTTTTACACCATATTGAAAAAACAAAAACAGGTTGACAACTTTTTGGTACAACTTTACCTTAACTCTTTCCCCCTTAAAGACTACATTTGACGACCTTCCCTTGTTTCCTTAATGACGTCTTTTGACACCTCCGCTGTATCCCTAAAGACGTGATTTGACGACCATTACAAATAGCTCGGTTTTACACATGTAATCAGAGGCTGTGATAGTTTGGGGGCCACTACAACCCATACATACTAATATATGTATGGGTTGTTCCAAGTAGGTGTCCAAGGGGGAAGAGTTAAAGGTCTTAAATTACACAAAATTGACTCTTGTGAGCTTAAAGCCATGTTATAATACTGTTACCTCCTCAAAAACATGCCCAGAGTTGTGTTTTGTTTCATTCACACGTATCTGAGTAACTCTGGTTTATTAGTTTATCTGCATTTCCAAAGCTCAAAATGCTCTGTTCCACCTTGTGATGTCATGAAGCTGTAGATTTCGAGTTAACAGCTAACTTTTATCTTAAGTTCAGTAGAGATAGGAAATTCCAGGGCTGAAATGATTCAAATGATTCTAGTGAAGGTGTTCAGAGTTTAAAAACACAGTGGAGCACTTCCTGTATCATAAGGTAGAACAGAGTGGTTTCTGTTTTAGAGAGGAGCTCATCGTAAATAAATAAGGGTTTGCGTTTTAAACATGTGTGAATGAAACAAAACACAGCTCCAGGTATCCTTTTGATGAGGAAACAGTATTATGACATGGATAAAAAAACAACTTAAAGTAACACAGTGTAACTTTCTGGAGGTGGAAAATAGAAAGCTTAAATTTAGAAACATAGGCTAAGTTTAGACTGTAGACTGCTTAATGCTCAATTCAGATTTTTTTTTTTTGTAAAATACGATTTTTGTGTGAGGTTGTTCACATTTACAATTAAATGTGACTTGTATGTGATCTCCAGTGTGAACTTTAAACGCCCCAAAAGTGTCTCGCATGTGCATTGGAAGACACAACGACGTCACACATTAAACCAGAGGTCTCCAACCTGCAGCTCGGGAGCTACCAGTAGCTCTCCACACCCTTACAAGTAGCTCACCCAGGGCTTTCTGAATTATACAGCATATTATAAGCATATCTGAATTATACAGCATATTATAAGGCATCTAACTGAATAACACTAAGGCTTGCTTTCTTATATCCACTCCTGTGACCGCTAAAATGAGTGGCTCTCCAGCACGTTCATTTTGTAAAGGTAGCTCACCAGATGCAAAAGGTTGGAGATCCCTGCACTAAATGCTGCATAAACGCTGGGCTTGTCTCCCAAAATACGGTCCAATTCTTGGTAAAATGGACAGGTTACACATCCACGGCTGCTTCGTTTGTTTGAGTCTTTAGCCTCCTTGTATTTTGCTCGCAGGCTCTATATTTTTTGTTGACACTGGAGCCAGGACCCTCTGTAGCCGTGCTCCGACATTTGTCAATCATTTCAAAAACCGGCCGGTTCCGCTGAGACCCCTTCAATCTGACCTGAATACAGCGATGCCCCCAAATATGAATGAATGTGACCTGGCCGTTCAGACTGAAGTCGCATGTAAAAAGATCGGATATGTATCGGTTTTTGGAGCACATATCCAAGTGGCCTGGGTCACATTTGAAAAAATCAGATCTGAGTCATTAAAAGATCAAATACAAGAGCATAGGGGCAAAAAAAATTGGAGTCACTTCAGGCTGCAGTCTAAATGTCGCCATCGATAACTTTTACTCTGTACTGTGGAAAATTATAGAACAACATTTCCAAGGAAACAAACAGGTTTAGGCTCCCCTCGAAACCAAATGGAGTCAGGTTTGTGGAGAGGCAAGCCTTCTCACAATAAGGACATATGTTTTTCAGTGCAATAAACACAATCTAAAATGTACACAATGGGACTTAAATAACGAAAAAAGAAATAAGTGACATTTTTTAGGATGGTACATATAAATAGACAGTGAGGAAATACAGCGGTTTATTGCAAATTGGAGCTAGTAATCTTAAAACCTTCTTAATACAGCCCTATGAAAGCCATTGTTAATTTGTGCTTAATTAGTCTATTCAGTGTTCACCTTCAAGTCTTTTAAGAAGTTGGGGTGCGTGTCTCCCAGTTTCCTCTTCTTGGACGCCTTTCGGTACTGGATGATTTTCTGTAACTCGTTCTTCAGAACTACAGAAGAGAAGACAGACTGGTCAAATACAACAATAATATTTGTGTACATGTGATGGGTTAAAAGTGCACTGTGTAATTTTTAACTTGAGTTATTACTGCTTATTATATATTGCTAAAAATTGACTTTTGTGTGCATTCAGACATATTATAATGCTGCTACCTCATCGAAAACATACCTGGAGTTGTGTTTGGTTCCATTCATAAATGTCTGAGTAAGATAAAAATGCTCTGTGTTACATCCCTCAATTGTTGAATTCATGGCAAAAGGAGAAACTGAATTTGACAACTGGACAAAAGTTTATTTTGGCTGAATATGTTTTGCAGCTCATCCAAGCTGCTTTTTCAGTTCTGGTCAGAATGCTGGTGGACACTGCCTTATATCTGGCTGCAGGGAGGAGCTAACTACACTAAAACTCCTCTGAAACTATCACACACACTTGTTTACAGTTTCTGTTTGGTGGCCCTGAATGATTCTGCTAATATGGCCCCACACTCAGTGCAAGTAGGCCTAGCTAACAGACAGAAACTGTAAACAAGTGTGTGTGTGTTAGTTTCAGAGTAGTTTGAGTGTAGTTAGCTCCTCCCTGCAGGCAGATATAAGGCAGTGTCCACCAGCAATTTGACCAAAACTGAAGTAGCAGCTTGGATGACCTAGGAAACATATTCGACCAAAATAAACTTTTGTCCATTTGACAAATTGAATTACTCCTTTTGCCATAAAAATGCTCTGTTCCACCTTGTGATGTCACGTAGTGGTAGTTTTCAAGTTAATAACTACCTTTTACTTTTAGTTCAGTATATTTGAAATTCCAAGGCTGAAATCATCCAAATGATTTTAGTGAAGGTGAAGGCACTTTCTGTATTATCACATGACATCACAAGGTGGAATAAAGTGTTTTCTGTTTGAGAGAAGACCTCTAAATCTGCAGGGTTTGTGTGTTAAACATGTCTAAAAGAAACAAAACACAACTCCAGGTCTGTTTGTGATGAGGAAACTACATTATACATAGGTCAGAAAATTGCATAATATGGGCCCTTTAGTTTATCTATCTTTGTGGAGACAAGCAGGCCAAGTTGCAGGTCAGATCTGTGGGAACGTGACCCCACTTAAGCATGGAGGTTTTTCAAGGTTCTTTTTTCTCAATCAAATGCCACATACATTTAAGGCTATACTGTGAAACATTCCAGTACAAACTTCAATATTATTGCTTTTACTTCAGTGATAAGTTTGCTGCATGTTTTTTTTTTGTTTATAAAACCAAAGAGATGAACAGCCCAAACTGGATTTTAAATGCAAAATAGATATGCTTAAAGCCATACTGTTGAACATTTCAGGCAAAGCAATAATAGTTCCAGAGAGACGAGCAGAAATTTTAGAAAAGCGCATCTTTAAGTAAGTACCTCTTCAGCCCAAACTTTTCAATTTCAGTAAGTAAATGTCAAAATTATTCTGATCTGTTTGAGTTATCTCAGTTAAATACATAATCAAATGTTTTTTCAATGCAGTGTGTACTCACCGTCTACTTCTGCAGTTAGACCTTTGATGGAGGCTGTCAAAGAAACAAAAACAAAAGAAATCAGTGACACAAACTCAACAAAATCTCACATTTAAAGGTCCTGTATTACCAAACTCTTGTGAGCTTTTAGCCATGTTATAATGCTGTTACCTCCGCAAAAACATACCTAGGAGTTGTGTTTTGTTTCATTCACACATGTTTGAGTAACCCTGAAGTATTTGTCTGCATCCCCAAAGGTTTTAGTTCTACCTTTTGTCAACACAACTCCATGTTTGTGTTGAGGAAACAACAATATAATACAGATCGGCTAGTGCAATATAGGCTCTTTAAATCATTTACTTCTGCTTAAATCTGGTTTTATTTTTACCTCCTGGGTCAGACTCAAACTCTGCCAGTTCCTCAGTGAAGGCGGTGAGGGAGGGCTGGTGCCACAGGATCTGCTCCACCAAAGCATTGAGCAGTGTGTAGTTTTTGTCTTTACCTCTGAGGTGTGCCATCTGAAGAGAGAAACAACAGGGTCAGCAAAACATCTATAAGATCTAAGAATATGTGTCTAATGCTAGTAATAATAATGGTTTAGACTCAAATTATGTTTATGGTTTATAAGCTTCCCCAAGCAAAAGTAAACCATTTTTATTAGAGTACAATGCCAGAAAATTTGGACAATATTGGCCAGTATATTTTCCAGATGGTTACAATAGAAAAGAGAATAATAAACTGAACATTTCGCTGATCTGGCCAAGATTTTAAAACTTATATCAGATTACTCATCCTGTTTTCAGATTTATTATCTACTTACTAGTTCTGAGTAGAGGTGGGACCAAGTCGTTGTTTGCAAGTCTCACATAAGTCTCAAGTCTTTGACCTCAAGTCCGAGTCAAGTCCTAAGTCAAATACAGGTAAGTTCAAGTCGAGTCTTGAGTCACTGGCCCATAAGTCCAAGTCAAGTCCAAGTCGTCTGCTTTGATCTTCAAGTCATTTCAAGATTTTTGCAATTTATATCAATTTTAAGATAAATTGTACTTAAAAAAATCATAGTATATTTATATATGAGTATGACTAGAGTGTATAAGAGAGTAAGAGTAATGTCTTAGTGTGAATCATTGCAGTCAGAATAGAAAGAATTCAGATTTAAAAGTGGTTCTCAAGTCTTCTCAAGTCACAGGCATCAAGTCCAAATCAAGTCCCCAGTTAGTGACCTTCAAGTCCAAGTCGAGTCCGAAGTTACTGACCTTCAAGTCCAACTCAAGTCCCAAGTCGTACTCCATTTTATCAAGTCAAGTCTCAAGTCCTAAAAATAGTGACTCAAGTCTGACTCGAGTCCAACTCACGACTTACAAGTCCCCACCTCTGGTTCTGAGATGCTTAATTCTAGTCTAGAGGTAGTTTATTTTAAGAGAACTTGTCAAGTAAAAATATCTTGCTGTGTGGACAGATCATTTCACTACTTCTGAGTAATTTTCTGATAGATTTAAGTGTTTATATCTTAAATTTTGCCCAAGCTTTTTTGTAGTGTAAAAGCAGACCAGTCTTACAAAAAATGTCATTTTATTTTGTTATTTGTGAAAAGTTAATTTGTAAACTTTATTGTGGCCCTTGCTATGGAGTAGCATAAGGACCCATAAGGATGAGTAGAAATGTTACACAGTGCATCTTTAGGTAAGTACCTCTTCATGAGAAATACAGACCAAAAATATTGCAATATCCCTTAATTAAAATCAGCGTACCTGATTTTTTAAAACATGCAAAACAGAATGAATTTATTTTAAACAGTTTGCAGTCAAGATATAACAGTATCCAAATCTCTTGGTACGATATTATCACAATATGCATCTCACAGTACAATATTTATTGCGATATTTTGGAGAGGCTGATATAACTGTAAGTAGGACACTTTTTTGCTTTTAAAATACCCTGACAAGATTTTGGTGTGAATTATTTCTGTCATAATCCCAAGAATTCAAGTAAAAACACATTTCTTCATGTTGTCTGCGCTGAAATGAATCATGGGATATGTAGTTCACAAAAAATGCACTGTGAAACTTTTGATGATACGATATGATATTTTAGTTGTTACATCCCTAGTTTGCAGGGGTCCAAAGTTATTCCTCACTTAACTTATGCATTCAGAACATCCTAATTATTCACGACAATGAATTTATAAGTGCTCTTCACAACTATCAAACAGTGTTAACAATGCTGATGCGCACTTCCTGATTATTACACAACAAAATGCTTTCTAATTAGATTGAGAGAGCATGCAGCAGACTTATGTTAACCTCAAGAGCTGCTTACACAATATATCTGTACTGGAGCAAGACACATTTTGCTCAAATACATGGAGAAAATCCGGGTACGGGCCCTTTAAATAAACCAATAGCCATATAATATTAACTCCCTTTCATATGAGCTCACTGGGCATCACTATAGTTTTTATTCCTCATGCAAGCCTCTGTCTGCCTAATAAACACAAACTTGTCTGAGCATTAACAATAAGAGACGGGAGATGATTTTCCTCCTGGAGTGTCCGCCTTTAATTCAGAGCAGAAACTGTTTACAGGTTTCAATTCCACGGGAGAGTCTCAGTGGAAGAACCAGGGCCCTGCTTCATTAAACAGAACAGGACCTCTCACTCTGAGCTCTGAAGGCTCCCAGCAGAACATCAACGGAGCCCAGGGTCTGCAGCAAGAATGCACAAGCAGATCAAACTATACACACAACAACAAGCAACTTCTCCCATAGAATGACTTTGGGTATTTAGCAGCAGTATTTTTCTAGTGACTTACAAACAGTGGTGAATGAAGTACTCCATTTTGTTACTTATACAGGGGGCAAAAAGTTACTCAAGTAAAAGTAATAGTATTTTGCAGAGATTTTTAGAATAATTAAAGGATGAAATGTAGTGATTTTGATCAAGAATTCTGCTGATTTTAAGGGATTCAGTTGATTTCTTAAATTGTCTTGCTGTTTTTGTGCATTTGCTTTGCTCAAAGTTGGGACGTTGACTCAGCTTTTTGAGCAGGTCTCAGATCATAAAGAAAAGTACTTTTCATTTTTCACAGATCTAATATGTAGTGGAGTAGAAAGTACAGATATCTACTCTCAAATGTAGGGAAGTAAAAGTAAAGTATCCACTGTAAAATGTACTTATGTAAAGTACAGATACAGATAAAGTGCAGATACCTAAAAATTGTACTTAAGGTTGTATAGAGGATTTTCCATGGAAAGAGAAATATAGCGACTGTTTGTCTCAACAGCTTCCTAAGTAGAAACGCCTCCTCCTGCCTTCTCCTTATGTTAGAAATCAAGCTTCAAATCAAAGTGTCAGTCTTTAGAATCTCCATCACTGGAAGGAATCTGAAAGAATGACCTTAGTTTGGCTTCGCTCCTTTTCCCCTTCTCTTCTCCTTTCAGCAACCTCAAAAACAGACTTTCTTTTGTGATGAACTAGTGACGGATTCTTGTCTGCCATTCCAACAAACTTTGCCCTTACTGCGAGGAAGCTACAGTTCAAAAAAGTCGCTAAGAACCTCTGTGTTAGTTGAGTAAACAGCGTCTTGCGTAAGTGGAATGCGTGAGAGGCGTACATAAACCACATAATCCCAGCGCAAGTCAGTTTCGCTGGAAACATAGGGAGTTTGACTGACAACCTAACAGCCAATAGATAATGAGGTAGCCTTATTATCTGTTGGCTAATGTTGAGCTTGTCTACGTCCACAGTTGATGTTTTTTTTTTTTTAATCATCATAATTACAAAGTTGATGCATCTCCATAATGCTATTTTGAACTTTCACTGACAATTTCAAACTAATAAAATCCTCCATACAACCATTAAGTACTTTCACTTTTGTACTTTATTACCTTCCACCACTGAATGTCGGATATCAGCCTCAGTAGCAAGACAAAACATGCATATTGGACCACTGGATCATTATAATTTATTCCATTTCCACAATCTGTGATGAGCTGAACCTCAGCAAAAAAGTGGGTTTTTTGTTGTTGTTTTTTTCATCATCATCATCATCATCATCATTTTGAGCAAAAAGATGCATAAAAGCCATAAGGATAACTTTAATGGCATACTGTGAAACACTCCAGGCAAAACAATAATATACAAAACTACTGTATATACAGACAACATCAAGCAACTGCTCCCACATAAAGACTCTCTGTGGCCGCTTTATTAGGCACAACTGTTTTGAGGGTTACACAGTCAATAAAAAAAAGAAAAGTTTTCAGAACAAAGGTAATGACAGAAGGAAGCACTGCTGTGAAAGGAGTTAAAGGGCCCATATTGTACCATCAACAGACCTTGAATTGTGTTTTGTTTCATTCACGCATGTTTAACACACAATCCCTGCAAATTTAGGCTGAGTTCCTCTCTCAAACACTCTGTTCCACCTTATGATGTCATGTGGTAATACAGGAAGTGCTCCATTGTGTTTTTAAACTCCACACCTTCGCTACAATCATGTGGATAATTTCAGCCCTGAAACTGCCAATCTCTACTGAACTAAAGGTACGAGGTGGCTGTTAACTTCTGCTTCATGACATCTCAAGGTAGAACAGAGCATTTTGAATTTTAGAGATGTAGAAAGACCAATAATAAAGTATTACTCAAGCATGTGTGAATGAAACAAAACATCTCACCTTGATCTGAGCTTCAATCTGATCTTTATTTTAACACATCTGACCACAAAGAGCTGATGTAGTTGGAACTACAAAAGGTGAGATGACTTGTGCTGTTTAACAAGTCTCTCACACATAACACTTCAGTCATAAGCCAGTTAACAGTTTTACACTTAGACCCTCTCACCTTTTTGTTGAAATTCAAACACCTAATAGTGTTGTTTAAAACTTTTGCATTTTTTCAGACCATCTTAAAACTTTTTGGCTGTGTTTGCTTATGTGTGTATTGTGTCACCATGATAACTGATGAACATTCTGTCATACAAATACATGCGGAACCCCCCAGCATGATATGGCTGAAACGTTTCAATAAATAGTCAGTGTGGTGAAGTGAACTGCCTTGCTCAAAATGCACTGTTCGGAGCTAAAATCAAACTAGGGTTGCACCGATACGAAACTGGCATTGAATATCAGTGCTGATAATGAACATTTAGCTGGATCGGATAATATCCATAATATCGGTTAAGCCGATATCCTGGCTGGGCCATTGATTGGATGTAATAAGGTGATTTACAGGCTAGTTTTGGCCCAAAACATCTCATAATCTTTGAACTTTTGTTCATATGAAGTTCTTCAGTCGTCATGTGAAGGAGAAAACACAGCTACATAAAACTGTTTTTTAAGGAAAGAAGTGCCATTTTCCATCCCTTCACTGGTATAATTTCATATCAGGTTTTGTGTTGAAGGACATAATCTATTTCTACTGGGTGTTTGATTGACAGACATTGTAACCAATCGGATGCTATTGTTTTCAAGTTTGGTTGACTACGCATTTTAGTTGTTTTCAGTGGAGATCGTGGGTGCAAGTCTTGCATGTGTATTAAAGATGCAAGAAGTGGTTTCAAAAAGGCACACATATACCTCAACATGTTTGCAGAGTGTTTTGAAGTTGTTAGCAATTGTTGGTTATAGAAATAGTGTGTTTAAGGGCCAAATAGACCAGCTAACAGCTGGCTGTTATTATGGAGCTATTAGTAAGTAAGTAAGTCTTTATTTTTATAGCACTTTCCCCAAAGACGCTTTACAGAGCATTATTCATTCACTCTATACCCTGGTGATGGTAAGCTACTATTGTAGCCACAGCTGCCCTGGGGCACACTGACAGAGGCACGGCTGCCATGCCTCTCGGCACCATCGGTCCCTCCGACCACCACCATCACTCACACACACACACACACACCACTTTCATACTAGGCAATGTGGGTGAAGTGTCTTGCCTAAGGACACAATGATTGAATTGATTGTATTTTTAATTGACCTTGACTATCAACTGTTCATGGAGACCTGTAGCATGTTTTGTGTCGATGGGGGAAACCGGAGCACCCGGAGGAAACCCAGGAAATCCAGACACAGGGAGAAACATGCAAACTCCAGAAGAAAGGCCCGGGGATCGAACCCAGAACCTTCTTGCTGTGAGGCATGAGTGCTAGCCACTCAGCCAACGTACTGCTTGTTTCCAACATGCTTGTTTGTGTGTGTGTATATATATACATATATATATATATATTTAAATTTATATTTTTTCCATCTGTGTGTATGTTTCAGTAGTCAGGCTGGCGCCACCTAGTGCCTCTGCTCAATTTCATTTCTCTCCAGCGACTAGGTTGGGAATTAGAATAAAGTCGGTACAACGAGAATGTTTGGTGAATTTTATCAAGGGGAAAGAAGTTCAATGTTTTCAATAAAAGTCATAAAACTTCATCATCTCTCATCGTGTATTCTTACTGATGCGATCACAACAGTTATAAGCCACTCAACGAGCTTTCCCCACAACAGGTATCGACAGACACTTAAAGCCATAGTATTTATATCGGTATCAGAACTGAAAAAGCTGGATTGGTGCATCCCTCGATCAAACCACCAACCTCCAGATTTTTGGGCAAAATGAATACAACCCCTGAGTTCCAGACAGACTATCAGAGAACAACAGCAGTGAAAGGAGGCGGTGTAATCCCTCAAGAACAGCAGTGAAAACAAAGCTTCCTGTGATCACAATTACCCGCTGCACAGTGAGACCTCTGCCCTCACACTGACCTGACTGAACCTGCACCAGCAAAACACCAGAGGAAACTCACACTAACACAGCCACAAGTCTGCAGGGTCAATGAGGAGAGGCTTACCCAGGCCTGGAGCTCCGAGGAAGGCCAGGGAAGAGGGGGAGCAGGGGGTATAAGCAGGGGTAAGGGTGAGCACTGGTGTTGGCATGATACTAAAATTACAAACAGCGATTTCAAATCTAAGGAATAGACCCAACACTCAGTAGTGATTCTGATACCAAATTGATGATTAATGCTCCTATATTACACAAAATTGAATCTTGTGAGCTTTAAGTCATGTTATAATGTTGTTACCTCGTCAAAAACAAAACTGGAATTGTGTTTTGTTTCACTGACACCTTTGATTAACCTTTTATTATTAGTCTGTCTACATTTCCAAAGCTCAAAATGCTCTGTTTCACCTTGTGACATCATGAAGCAGTAGTTTTCAAGTTATCACCTACCATTTTTAGTTCAGTAGAGATTTGCAATTCCAGGGCTGAAACTATCCAAATGGTTCTAGTGAAGGTGTATGGAGTTTAAAAACACAGTGAAGCACTTGTTGTATTTTCACATGACATCACAAGAGAGTTTAAGGGAAGAACTCAGCCTAAATCTGCAGGGTTTGGGTGTTAAACCTGTATGAATAAAACAAAACACAAATCCAGGTATGTTTTTCATGAGTGCTCTTATACAGCTCAATATCATTCTAAAGATATTCAGGAAAGATTTAGCCAGGCTGACGCCGCCTAGTGCCTCCACTCAGTTTCATTTCTCTCCAGTGACTAGGTCAGGAATCAGAAAACACTAGACGGTTTGCAAGAACTCCGGAAGTTGTAGACCGCGCACCGGCCAATCAGAGGAGAGCTGTGAAGCCATGACGTCAAACTCAAGCGCTTGTCTGGTCCCTTTTGTGGTACAACACAACAGTAAACAAAGCGGTAGAGATGGACGTAACCGAAGACATACAACGATTCCTGAGATCGAGGATTTAAAGCCGTGTTTGGTGAATTTTATCAAGGGGAAAGACGTTAATGCCCTTCTTCCTACAGGATTTGGGACATTACATACGTCACGATCAAATAGCAGTGACAGGTTAAATAAAAAAATTACCTGCCTACCATCAAGCAAACGAATCCTTATGCTGTGAGGTCAGACGGTTTCCACAAAGTGAAACCGGCTGAATCAGGCTAGGAAAGATTAATTTCTGTCCTGTGTATGTGACTTTTTTAGTATCAATACCTGCTCAAATGAGTAGTTTTGACAGTAGTTGTAATATCGATTAGTATCTGATTTTCGATACTTGGCTGAGACATACTTTGGTTAAGGTGGAGAGGCGGATTCCTTTGGCCTTCTCTTTGCCTGCGTGTTCATTGAGGTAATTCCCGATGGCGAGGAGGTACTCCAGCACAGACACAAAAGAACGAGAGTTATGGAGCTGCTGGCACATCCGCATCTTCTGGTTAATCAGCTGAAAGAAAAAGAGAGACAGATATTCTAATGTTAGAATCAGAGATGAGTGACCAGAAAATATACATTACTTTAAAATAAAAGTGGAAGTACAAGAAAGGTCCAAGAATTTACGCAAGAGTAAAAAAAAATATTTGGAAAAACTACTGCTCAAGTCAGAGAAACTTAAAGAGCAACTGCTGGCACCTAAAATCTGATTCATAATTTAAGGTCAATGTCATTGGAAGGACAAAACATGAAATAACATGTAAACAATAGACACATAAATGAGAAAAATGAAATCATATCTTAAGGAGCAGTGCAAGAAACACAAATGTTCAAATCATTTCATATTGTCCACATAAAGCTTTTGTCATTTTAGACTTACTCATAGTGAGAGGAAGGACCAAATCCAAAGTACTGTTAGTCAAGTAGGAGTAAAAGTACAGTACGCTGTTAGAAAGATACTGTAAAAAGTACAATTTCTGTAAAAAGTTACTCATTTATAGTGAATATAACTGAGTAAATGTAAAAATTGAGTACTACTCTCCTCTGGTTAGGAACATATGAAAACATAAGGCTCCATATAATTTAAATGTAACAAATGATATACTAGTATATACTCATCTAATCCATTCCCCTGACCTTCACATTCAGTTCAGTGATGAGTCCAGGATGATTCTGGACTGAATCTATCAAACAACTTGGTCTTTGGCTGGACTTGGAACTTAACTTCAAACCTCATTTTGATTGCGTCATCAAAAGAACATACACTACCACTTTAAAGTTTTAAAACATCACACTTTTCCCAGTTTTTTAATCTCTGTCTGTTCAGTTCTTACCTTTGCACAATTTCAAGCTCTTCATTGGACTTGCACAACTTGAATTGCAATAAATAACTGGAAAAATGAGGGTGTTCTAAAACTTTTGACTGGTAGTGTATGCTCCATTATGTCCTCTTTACCAGTCAGCTAACTCACTCAATAAGAAAAAGAATTATTACTCAATTAGTTTTACCCATCAGTGACTATGCTGGTACAATTGATCAGAATACACATGATCCATATGTCAAACTACTGAATGTTCTCTTCAACTCTCTTTGTAGATTTATTCTTAAATGCCCATACTAAACCCATCACTGTATTTTATTTGGAAAACTCCACTGGCCACAAACATACAATAGATGTCAATTTCATTGTATTCAACAAATTTTTAAATGTATTTACTTTAACTGTCCCCATTGCCTACATCATTATTTAGTCCAAGTAGCATCATCATTTCAGATTAGCACCCAGTGCTGGCTTTTGTGTTCCTCTACAAAGAAGTTGCGCAATTATTTCTCTCCAGCAACTAGGTCAGGAATCAAAATACACTCGCCTGTTTGCAAGAACCCCAAAAGTGCGAGTTTGGGCACCAACCAATCAGTGAAGAGTCATATATTCTGTGTTGTTAATGATTCCCGAGATCGAGGATTTAAAACCGGAACAAAGAGAATGTTTGGTGAATTTTATCAAGAGGAAAGATGTTATTGCCCTTCTTCCTACGGGATTTAAAAAAAAGCTTAATATACCAGTTAGCCCTGTTAGAGGCGCATTACATATGTCACGACCAAATAGCAGCGATTGGTTAATGATAAAAAGTACCTGCCTACCGTCAAGAGAGATCAGACGGTTTCTATAAAGTTAAACCAGCTAATGAATCAGGCTACCTTCAGATTGCAGCAGATTACCCACCCTTAAAAACTTTACCATCTTTCAATTCATTTAAATCATCTTGGTTTTCATATCTCAAAACTCCTTGTTTATGTTTTTAGTTTGTCTTTATTTTTATTGTTTGTTCAGTTATTGTTTTCTATTTGTTTATATCATTGTTACATAAAGTATACTTTTTTAATTTAAATCAGGCACTCTGCAGGAGTTTGTATTCTATCTATTGTATTGTATTGTATTGTATTGTATTGTATTGTATTGTATTGTATTGTATTGTATTGTATTGTATTGTATTGTATTGTGCATTACTAATATTTAGTTTTTTTTGGAACCCCTCGAAAAAGAGATGGCATATCTCAAGCGACATTCCAATAAAATAAAAAGTAAATAAATACTTCTTCATATGAATACTACTTTACAATACAGAGTACTTGCCAAGTACTTGAGAGTAGAGGTAAGATCTTAAATGGCCTAAAATGTCAATCATTACTTCGGGTCGGGTCGGGCTCGGGCTTCAAATAAATATATGTTTATAAAATGTATGCTAAAACGATGTGTGGATACTAAACTAAGGAATACTTGTTATAAAATAAATAATATGGATAAAACAGAGAAGTAATGTAATGTAATTGCTATTTAACTACTAAACAGGATCCGCAGAGCCAGAGCTCTGCGCACGTGAACGCCCCCTCTTCATTTAATAATCTTCCCCTCCGCAAGTCTGCATCTATTTTGACCTGGTGTCCCCAATATGGAGGAGCAAGAAGTTAAACTAAAGGCAGGAGAACTGAAAAGACAAACACGCACCGGTAAGAGTGAGGTGTGGAAAAGCTTCAAATTTATTGTTGAAAATGCTACAGAAACTTGCGTTGGCTTCGCTGAATGTCGTCAATGTGGCGCTTTGCTTTCATACGAGATCAAAAAGACTGGCACCTCGATGCTGAGCACTGCTCCTCCTCCCGAGTCCTCACAAATAAAATATGACATTTCGGGTTTGCTTCGGGCTCGGGCCTGCAAATCAAGTTAATTGGTCGGGCTCGGGCCGGGTCGGGTTTTAATACCCGTGGGCCGGGTCGGGTCGGGCTGGATTTTTAGGCCCGATCTCACCTCTACTTGAGAGCCGTAGATATGGTATTCAACTATAATCAGGCAATTATTTCTATTAGGCTATTGACCTATCTGTAAGAGTCATGTTTTATTTACAGCTGTTTTTAGTACACCAGATGCCCTTCCTACTGTAACATCAGTTAAGTAACTTGTAATTCTTGTGTAATTCAGTCAAGAATTGAACTGGCAATCCACAAAGACTGCACAATTGGTTCCCAAAATGTACTGAATAATGAAGGTTTCTTTATAATCTGTTTTGACTATCCTGCTATTACATAAAATTTATTTAAAAAATTACTGGTAAAATGAATTAATTTTACTGGAATTGGGTTTTTGTGTGAGATGTCCATGTAAAACTATAATTAAATGTTGTAGGTGTAAAAATTACATTTAAACACTGGAAAAAGCAAATAAAAATTTAAAAAATGTTCATTAATCTTTCAAATAAGACAATAAATAAACAATATTTCTACACTTCTGTGGCCAGTTTTACAGCTCATTCCATTTTGTGCAATACTTGATACCATTTATATTTGATTGCCGCATTATTTTCTCATATTGTTTTTGGTATAATCATAAGATATATTGAGACAGATTTTTGTGACTACCTCCTGCCTCTCTTGATAATTTGATATCCTTCATTTTGTCCAAGCACCTCATTTAACCTCATATTATGAATGTTAATGAGCGCGGCGCTGTTCAGTGGTGTTTAGTATGCGTCTGCATCACGTACAAATCTCCCCTCAGAATATGGCCGCTCTCCACACTTTAAGCAGCGCTCATTGGATCTGAATTGAAAAACAAAAACGCAGAGAGGATTTTAGCCTTTGCCAAATGCATTAGGGATGGAAATGATATGGGGAAGCTGCAGCCATCCAAAAAGATCATTCAAATCAAATTAATGTTATGTCAGTTAGCTACGATCCACACGCCATATGGTCAGGTTTAACAATAACTGCATATATTACTAAAAGGAAAACTGCAGTAAAGAGAGAAGTAAAGTTTGTATTATATTCTGAAGTAAACTATAGTGTTGCACTTTTATAACGTTCAAGAAAACATTGTCTTTTGTCTGCTATATAATTTGAAATATTTATCTAACATAACTTGATAAAAGAAACAAGTCCGCTCATTTTTGTGTTAGACAACTGCGATACATTGCCATAAACATCGTCACAACAGTTATTCATGAAGAGTCATAAAAATGTCTGCAAGACGCTCCAGAATCCTATGTGTATCACTGATTAAGGAAATGAGAGTTGATTGGCAAAATGGCATCTTGAAAATAAGCAAACATGCACAAATCACTCCAAATAAAACTTCGAGAGGGTAAATGAGAAAGGAAAACAGCTATAACATGGTATACTATCATTTTGCAGAAAGGTTCTGTTTTAAATGTGCATTTGTAGCTTTTGGTGGAGTGCCCGTCACCTGCTTGTTTCGATGGATACGTCATTGCTCTGCCTGGAATGTTCCGCAGTATGACCATGGATCTATAATAAAAACTGGATAAGGCATTCCCAATCTGTCCCGGTGTGAGATAGTATTTTGACCCCTATAGTATACTGACCCCGGGGTCAACATACCGCTACAGTAAAGTGATCCCCCCGTATGATTTTGACTCCCCTTAATTTTTTCTTTAGTAGTTACTTATATGATCATTATTTCTCATGTCATTTACTTTTATTATATATTGCTACATATTCACTTTCTTTTAAGGTATTTTAAGGAATGTTTTGATGGATAACGACTTGGTATTTTGTGTAAATGTAACGTATTGTTAAAATTGCATATACACAGCAATCTTGTCACTTTTTATATTGTATAAAATATTAATATTGTTATGGTTTTTAGTTTGCTATGCTCGGATAATCAACATGTAATTTTAAGTGAAGTTATTGGTTACAGAAACCATTTAACAAATCTTCTCCTATCATCTATTTAACTACTCTATTGATCTTTAGCAAATCTTCTCATAGCCCTATATTTAATGACTCAATTGATCAGCCCTGTCTATTTGAACAAGATTTCAAATCATTATACATCACTTTGATTACCTAACTCATTAATAACTACTTATCTCATTTTCAGTAAAATATGTGTTTAAACAACTAAGTCATTTGTAACATTCAAAAGTTATAATCGACATAAAAAATGCATCTGAGGTCTTCAAAAACACTTTTAAATATGTCAATATGTTTTCATT